GGCTACTGAAGAGGTGACTTGTTACTGGAAAGAGCCCTGACTGAGATTTGCCCTCAATTATCCCAGTATCTCACCTGTAAAGAAACACCAGGATGCTTGCTAAAATGCATATTCCTGGGCCCCATCCAGGCTTACTGAATCAGAACTTGTGGGACATAGGGTCTGCAAACTTTTAGAAGTATATTTTATCAGATGTTAAGAAATCTGTGTGACCTTCCCTGTGACACTGAATGTCTTTGGACCTCATCTGTAAAATGAGGGGCTTCAGTTTTATGATTTTATTTAACATATTAAGATTGGTTATTTTCTCACATTAGTAAGATACTCCAATGTGAAGGAGTCAAGAGCGATAATTATGCCTTTAGCTCTGTTGTTTGTTTAAAAATACAGGCATGCATCCCTTTGCACCGTAAGCATGCTAATACATGCTCTTCTCTTGCCATGTGTTTTTGGCAATGGCAAGCATTCATGGCAGGACTACTGTTTATGCGCGGCCTCTTGGGTGTCAGATGGAGCATCACTGAATCCAGACATGCTCTGTGAGAGCACACACTCTGCACCAGCATGCTGCACTAGTGATGGGACAGTGGGAAGGCCTCTCTGGACAAGTTACAGATGGGGTGTGCTATGGGACACGTGCTCTGGAGGTTGCTCTCGAGGTGGTCAGAGCGAATTGTGCAGGTGGCTGGCTTCAACTGAGGACACCAGGCGTGGGTTTGTATAAAAGCTGTCTGCTGCCAGTGATGAGTCATGGTAAGCCAACACCACCAAGACTCTCACCCAGCTTGTGGTTAATGACCAATTCCTACTCTTTTTTTTTTCTTTGTATAATAGCTCCACAAGTTGTTTGAGAGCCAAAAGTTTGGTAGTTTCTATTACTACTTTAAGATCAGAAAGAGTAGAAAGGTATCCACAAGTTAATGTCATGGTGGCTAAGAAGCAAGAACACACAAGAACAGACACAACTTTATGTTCTTGTAATATTTCCAAATGATAAAATTGCCTCTTTAACATCTTTGTAGTAGAATGAGGGCCATCTTGCCAAGCCATCTTTTGTAAGTTACTTAATTTTCATATTTCACTTCTTGCTGCTTCTAGCTATACAGCCAGCCATTTTCTTCCTGCCAGTTTCCTGGATATTTTAACAGAAACACCTTCACTCAAAAATGACAAAACCTCTTTATCTGCCAATGGAAAATCAATTGCTACAAAGAAGACATGTGGTAGAGGCAGGCAGGAAAGAACTTGGACTGCTAAGTTGCTCTTAAATTACTGCCAACTTTGCACTCAAACTTTTCCAGGCACAGTCTGTGGAAAAGACCTGGTTGTGTGTCCTTGCTGAAGAGCACGTCATGACATAGCACCAAGCCTGCCTCCATGCAGTCTGAAGCACAATCTAAGCACTGGTGGAGAACAGGCCATCCCCTCTCATACCATGAGCACTTCTCTGTGTTCTCTTCTCTAAGACCTGAAGTAAGAAGGAATGCATTCTGAGATCCTAAAGAAAAACGACTTTCCAGATAGAAAGAACTTTCTAAACTGGTGTTAAAATTAGGAACAAGTTTTAAATAATAATCTCTAAAACAAGCTAGGTGCATTTGTTTGCTAAGGATGCCATAACAAAACACCACAGATGAAATTGCTTAAACAAAAGGAATTTTCCCCCAGTTCTGGAGTCTGTGAGCCCCAAGATCAAGATGTCAGGTTTGGCTTCTCCGGAGGCCTCACCCCTCTGATGGCTGATGGGTGTCCGCCTCCCTGCTGTGGCTTCACCTGGGCTTTCCTCTGGGCACATGCATCCCTGGTGTATCTCTTTTTGGGCGTCCAAAGTTCTTCTTTTTATAAAGACAGCTCGAATTAGATCCCCTTCTATCTATCTAATTTTAACTTAGTCATCTCTTTAAAAGTCCAGTCTCCAAATACAGTCAGCATGAATCCCTGGGATACAATTCAGTCCATAACACTTAGTAGCCCAGATTACTAGCAGTCTGTGAAAGAAATAATAAGCCAAAGCTACAGGATTATAAAAGTAAGTCAGTTTAAAGAATTTTTCTTTCACTCTGGTTTCATGACCCACAGTGATTGACAAACATGAACCTAACCCACTATATTCAGTGAGTCCCCTTCCCAGCTTTCTTAAACTGAACAGCTGCAGGTGAGTCCCTTGCAACCAGTAAGTGTTCTTTTACCCAGCTTGGTTCTCCTTCCTCACGGTCACACCTTTACCTTCATCCACAACATGAATGCACACTTCTGAAGTCTTGATTCCTTTCACCCACTGGTCTATTTTAGGCATCCCATGAGCAAGTCCTTGACTTCACTGAGACCTTTAACTCAGTGGTGTTTCGTTATCAGTCATCACTCCCACCTCCAACATGTCTTCTCTTCCTGTCTTATCCAGCTTAGATTCTAAGATCTGTCACTAGGATTACCTTCTTTCCCTTTCTCCCTCCAGGGTTACAATCCCGGTAGAAGCAAACCCTCTGCTTCCTCCGTGCCTTCACTCGCCAGCAGCTTTTATTTTTAGTGTTCGTACCTTGGAGTCATAGTATGTGGTAGAAAGAATAACATTCTGCACCAAGGATGTCCATGTTCCAAGATCCAGCACCTGTGAATATGGGATTTGCCATTGTGATGAAGGATTTTGAGATGGGGAAGATTATTCTGGATTATACAGTGGGCCCAAGGAAACCACAAAGGTCCTTGTAAGATGGAGGTAGGAGGTTCAGATTCAGAGAAGGTGATGTGATGACAGAAGCAGAGTCAGAGTAGGAGAGTGTGACAATGTAAACAAGTAAGAGAAGAAACAGAGACTTGAAGACTGCTGGCTTTGAAGACAGTGGAGGGGTTCATGATCAAACAAGGCAGGCAGCCTTTAGAAGCTGGAAAATGCAAGGAAATAGATTTTGTCCCAGGGTCTCCTTGATTTTAGTCCAGTGAAACTCATTTCAGAGTTCTGACCTCCAGCATTGTAAGATAGTAAATTTGTATTTTCTTAAGCCACCAAATAATTGGTGATCTCTTACACAGCATCAATACAAAATCAGTACATAGAGCCAATTTCAATAGCTATGGAATATCAACAATACTGGTAATTGTATTATACCTCCCAGTATATGTGGTTTTCTGTTCTCCAAAACAAATGTTTCAATGCTGCTCTTTTCTTAAATACCCTCTCACAGGTCTTCCCACCCTAGCAATTAACATTGCCTCATATTTCATTGGGAAGCTGGTGTCCATTATGACTGATACAGTACTTACTCGCTCAACTACCTATATGTAATCAATTTCCCAACCAATACTGCCACATTTTTCATGATGGTATTAGTGCCCTTGTAAGGAGAGATGCCAGAGAGCTTTCTCTTCCCCTCTCTCTGCCATGTGAGGCAGAGTGACAAGGCAGACATCCTGAGCTTCCAGGAACTAAATCTGATGGTACCCTGATCTTGGTCTGCCCAACCACCAGCACTGTAAGATGTAAATGCCGGTTGTGTAAGCCACCCAGTCTATGGTATTTAGTTAAAGCAGGCCAAGCTGACTAATACGTTAAAACTAATATTCTACCAACATTTATATAAATGCTATCATAGAAAAATGTTTAGAATTATTTCTCATATTACAGGTATAATTATTTCCAAATTATCCATCATTGAGAGGAGTGTGAAGAAATGTTTCTCTTTCTAATTTCCTGATTTCACTGAAATCTATTTGGCCACAGATGAAAATGTAATTCCATGGTATTTAAAAGTGGGCCAAGAGAAGGTAACACTATTGAGGCAGATCTTTAGGCCAAGGAGTCTCTGTCTCTATTAAGGACAGAAATGTACATGATGGTTGACCACTATCCATAGTTATCTATCTCTATATATCTACAGCTATTTATAGCTTCTTATAAAAGAAAATGGATAAAAATGGGGAGATAAGTTTTATGATTGTCTTGCAGAAAAATCATTTAGAAAAGTCTTGAGAGTGAATTCTGAAAAGCTCACAAGGGCTAAGAGCTCAATGAAAAGATACTATTTCTGTGTGATCAAATAAAACTCACAAATATTTCAGGGCAAATTCTGAAATGGGAAACTAGAAAATCATTTCTAGTAGAGATATCAAGTGCTGGCAGTAGAATCTGAACCAACCTCAAGAGAAATAACTATAGAACATCATTCTGAGAAAGGATTTATTTCCTTAGCAAAAGAGTGTGCTGAAAGAGAGGATTCTGCTTTTGACTAAGGTTAGAAGCAAGGGTTAATACAAGAAAAGATGCAGGAGATAATTGTACTATTTAAATCAAGGCCATTGTATTTAATTAATTGACATAATGCATGGTGATCATCTACCATATGCTAAGCATTATGTTAGGGAATAAGGCATATGAATTTAGAATCATTAGATGATTAATTCAGGTGCTTGAAGTTACTTAAGTGTGTGTACTGCATTCCCTGACAGCCCTTCATTCATATTCAGAGTCAGACATACCTAGGCATATTTGCAATACTTGTGAGAGACCCCAATCAGGCATAGATTTGCATGAGTGATCAAATTGCTGTTGGCAGCACTGATTGCTTCTGAAGGACACTGCTTCATATGTTTACTCAAATAAATAAAACATAACGTAAAATACCCTAGATGTGAGCAATGAGGAATCACATCCCTTCTATATCAATAGTAGTCATGAAGGAGTAGGGGGTTTTCTTAACTGGTGGATTATCACAGAGCATGTTATTAGCAGGTAGCTGATGTTAGAAACTGTTGTGCTAAGGATCCCCAATTATTCCATTATAGGTTCTTGTATCTATAATTCATTAATGAAATAAGTTACCTATTTCAACTAATTCGTTAAGCCAGGCCTCACTGAGCCACTTCTGGTTACTGTGCTAGGGCCAGAGATATAGAGATCTATGAGAGGTACCGTTTCTGGAGATCAGAGTCTAATGGTAGAGCAGCCATGTAGGCAGATAATTATTGTATAATGTGCAAAGTCCTTGCAAGAAATAAAAGCAGAACTGGAACTGTGCAGGAGGGCCAGGCCAATTGCCCAGGATATCAGAAAAGGGTTTGCAGAGGACAGGGTATTTTGATCTTAAAAAAACAGGTAATTTGGCTGGGTTAATGGACCACCTAGGAAGACTATGGCCCATCCAAAGAGGCTCCTGGCATTAAGGTCTCGGGGCAGGAGATGAGGCTGGCCTGAAAACAACTATCAAAGGTAATGGGACAGAGGCTGAGCACATCAGATGGGCAGGTTGCATATGATTAGCATCTTTGTGGAAGATAAGCAAAGTCTATACTCAGAACTCTCAAATAATGAACACTTTTTGAAATACATTAGCCTATCCAATTATTAAGAGTTAACCAAACTTTGTGAATTTTAAAAAATGATGATTGTTAGCTCCTCTTTCTATCTTCCTTGATTTTTACCTGCTAGATCTATAAATACATGTAGGGAAAGAACTTATATTATGGGTATACTCTTTGATTCAGACAGAACGACATCCATTCAAAACAGGAGAAAGTGTACTTTAAAATCTGTTGCTTGGTTACATTAATAAATGTGTATCAATTCCCACTGATGTGTAAATATACTATAAATGATTCAGAGATACAGTACAATTTCTTTTATAGGGAATAAAAGCTGGGGGCCAAGTGTTTCAAGTCTAGGATAAGAAGAGCAGTAATGGGAACATAAAGCCCATCATTAGGGTAGGAAGTATGAGTAACTGAAGATGGGTTGGTGTTAGCCATGAGTTACCTGACAATTATTCTCTCAGTTTTTGTTTATTCGAGTATGTCTTCAAATTTCTCTTTTGCTTTTGAAGAATAGTTTTGTGAGATATAAATTCTAGGTGAATAGAACTTGCAACACTTTGAATGCATTATCCCACTGCTTTCTCACCTAAATAGTTTTTGATCAGAAGTCAGCTTGTAATCTTGTGGAGAATCCCTTGTTTTTGATGATGTTATTCTCTTGCTACTTTCAAGATTCTCTCTTCATCTCTGTCTTTCTACAGTTTGAGTACGATGCATCTAAGTATGGGTGTCTTTGAGCTGACACTACTTAGGATTTGTTGAGCTTCTTGGGTGTGCTGATTAATAGTTTTCATCAAATTTGGGAAGCTTTTTACTTATTTCTCCACTTTTTTTTCTGTCACTTTCTCTCCTCTTCTCCTTCTGAACCTTACATTATGCACAATTGGCATGTCTGATGGTGTCCTACAGATCCCTGAAGCTTTATTCATTGTTCTTTATTCTTTTTCTTTTCTGTCATCAGACTGTATAATCATAAACTGCCTTAAACTTTGCTGATTCTTTCTTATTTCAGTTTAGAGGTGCTGTTGAGCCCCTATAGTGCAATTTTCATTTCAGTTACTATATTTTTCAGCTCCAGAATTTGTATTTGGTTTTTTCTTTCTCTTTATTCTCTATTTGGTGAGATGTTGTTCTCATACTTCCCTTTAGTACTTTAGGTATGGTTTCCTTTAGTTCTTTGAACATGTTTATAATAGCTGATTTAAGGCACTTGTCTAGTAAGTCCAATGCCTGGCTTTCATCAGGGATAGTTTCCACTGACTTCTTTCTTCCTGTGTGTGGGCTCCAATTTCCTGGAGGTTTTTGTTTGGGTATGTGTGCACATAGGTGTGTGTTCTGTAACTTTTTGTTGAAAATGAACACTGAATATAATGCAGAAACTCTGGGAATCAGATTATTCCACTCCCCAACATTTGTTGCTGTTTTGTTTGTTTGTTTAGTGACTTTTTTGCGCTAATTTTGTACATTTTGTATTCTTTATATGCAGCCTGGTTGGTTGTACATAAGTGTCTCTGGTTGTTTTTCTTAGTGGTCAGCTAAGGATTGGGCAGAAATTTCCGTAAGTGCCTTAAACCAGTAAGTCTCTCAGCCCTTGCTTAGGAGCTCTTTGTGTGTGTGTTGAGGCCTGACTTCAGTGCTTCAGCAGGCAGTTCACAGCTCTGTCTTAGCCTTCACTTCCTGTGTGTGCACAGCCTCAAGGTCTGTCAGCTGGGAGTGATTGCAGTCCTCTTAGGTTCTCTGTAGGCATGCACTTAACTCCAAAATGTGGGAATGGATTTCTAGAGTCTCAGGAATATATATAGCAGATTTTCAAAGCTGTCTATGGATATTTCACTCCCCAGTTTTTCCTTTCAAGTTCTCTGGTCAGCCTCTTGCTTTCCCCACCTGGAAATGCTGCCTCAGTAGCTGTGATGTTATACAATTGTTGCTGATTGTTTTTTCATCAAATACCTTGGGGAAGTTTACATCTAGTACCTCAGAGTGAGCTCTGAGTCAGGCCAAATAAAACCCAATCTGAGAATGGAGCTTTTCAAAAAGCTTCCAGACAAGTCAAATAATGACAGTTTGCTGGAGATGTGGTTTTTGAAGTGTTTCAAGCCAATTCTCCCTCCAGTGGTTGCTAGGATGGAGGTATTTATAGCTATCATAGTTATGAGGCTATTGTTTTTCTAGGATCCCATGGAGCTGAGGAATGGTGGACAGGATTAGGGTGAGTTAAAATGGCACAAAACTCACTGTTTTTATTGAGATTCAGCCATTTCTCTTCAATAAAACTCCTTGCATTGTTGCAGATCTTTAGTTAATGTTCAGCATTTTGAACTGGTTGATTTTGACAATCTTTTAAATAGCATATTTTTTAGAGGTTCCTATTCCACCATTCTGGAAGGCATCCATCAGGCTGCAACCTTCAAACTAGACTTTACTGTGTGTTTGGACATAATCAAAGGGAAAATTAGCACAAAAAAAATGTGCAACTGCTACTGGATAAGGGGCTTTTCATAGTCCACAGATCCAGATTTCTTATGCTGCGAAGTCTTACCAGGACTTCCATGCTTAGCTCTAGTGTAGAGAGTGCTGTTCCCAGACTATTTCTAATTGGCAATGGTTTGATCCTAAAAACCAGGAGATCAACAGAATTTGTTTTTTATTTGTAGGTTTATTACAAATAGCCATGAGGCAAGAAATGGGTAAGAAATGTTTGCCCTCACCAAAGTCCAAGGGTTTCCTCCCCTGTTCCTGGAGCTACCTCTTCTTAGGTTATTGATAGCGTGAAATCCACTGCCTTCAAGGAGAGTCCAGGACCTACTTGCAGGGTGTGGGTGTGACCTTATACTCTGGCCTCAATAAGTTAATAACCTTCAACATAATGGTCCAAAATCAGTGTATTCCTCAAAGTCTGGGTTTTCTTCTTTCTAGCAGAAGAACATTAACAGTTTGTTCTTGCTCGAAAGTCACTGGATTCCATCCATTTTCTTCTGGGTCTCTTTGCCAGTTTGCCTTGAAGAAGCCTATATAAATCATTTTCCTAGGTTTCTTGATTTCAACTCCTTGTCTTGACTAAGTTTCTGCTCAAACAAGAATACAACTTCTTCACACAAACCAAGGACACTATTTAGGTAGAGTGCACACTAAATTCTAAAGGAAAAAGAAATATTTTTCTCTGTGCAACTGGTCACCCAACAAAAAGCAACAATGTCTGCAGAGACTCTATCCAGTTTATTTTAGCAGTCAATCTGCTAGTTGCTTATTCATTATGCCAGCATAAGAGTTTATGGGGCTTTAGTTATCCCCAATGTGAATGTATTAGTATTTTTTTGTTTGTTTTTGAAGTTAAAGTAATTGCCATTCAGTCATAAGAACAAAGAAAATCATCTCAAAAGAGAATCAGTGTTGCTATATCTTGCAAGGTGAAATATTCCTGTAGGTTTTAAATGCCAGTTTCTTTAAGCTTCTACCTATAAGAATTTCAAAATTCTTAAAGATCTGGTTTTAAAGAGGTCATCCTGTTGCAAATTAACTCTTTTCAAAAAGTTAATCTAAACACACACAAGCACAAGAAGCAGGGTGACCCTTGGTTAAAAATAAAATACTGAGGAGTTTGTATTCTCCAAAATCACAAAGACAGCTCTCTGTAAAACATTAATTTAATGGAGAAAAAAGAAACCACCATCTCTCCTATTACTGTTTGGAGGGCATTCAGTTTCCCCACAGTCATAAATTCTAGGTTGAGTGTTTAATATTGTAACACTTAAAGACTTGACAGATGGAGACAGAAGTATGAGCTACTGCAATACAGGTCGGAGTCTTTGGTATCCAGGCAATAGTCACATGAAGTTCCTTTTAAAAAGTACAGAGATAACATCAGCTGAACTTGGTAAGGGACACCGTAACAACATGCTTGGATGTCTAGTTGAAGATAGTCTACTTGTGAGTGAACGGGTGATGGTGCCTTTTATGTCATAAGCAGGGTTACTAGCCAAAACTGAGCACAGCCCTGCCTGCCGTAATTCCATCTTTTCCCTACCCCAATGACTTAAGCTTTGTGATATTTTGTCCTGAATGGTTAGAGAGAAGCTCCAACAAAGGCATTTTGTAAAAACACACACAAAAAACTAAGTTTAGAATTGAGAGACAGTGGTTACATTTTTGCTTTACTCTGTAACCTGCTTCACATAAACAGAATGGAAAGTTTTGTTCTGATTCTATCAAAGTGATGGAGTGCTTTGATTCTGTACTCATCTTCACAATTCCTGCTGCCCCATTTATCATTTCTGAGACCAGCACTATAATTAGTTATGGCATGCTAATGTCCTCAGTCACAAAATGGAAATGAATATGTTACATATGCATTTCAAAACCAAGTGTATAAAACAGATATTCCAGTCTTATAGTGATTACTTTTGTTTTCAATGGCACTTCAGTTGTCTCTGTTAAGGAAATAAAATACTTAGGTCACCAATATACAGTACATCTGACCATAGTTGTTATAGCAATAAGGCTATGGTAATATACTTAATAAATAGCTGTTGAATGAGTAACTGAAATAAATATCAAATCATTGCATTTTCTAACTGTGATCGCAATGCACATAGGATTCAGATATAAATCTGTCTTCTTTTTACTGGAATCAAGTTGATATACAATCTTATATTGGTTTCAGATGTACAACATAGTGACTCAATAATTATGTACATTACTAGATACTTGCCATGGTAAGAGTAGTTACCGACTGCTACCCTACCAAGGTATTACTGGTTATATTCTCTATGTTGTATTTTCATTCCTATGACTAATTTACTTTACAATTTTCAGTTTGTAGCTCTTTATCCATTTACCTACTTTACCCATCCCCTTACCTCCTTCCCTATGGCAACTGATAGTCTGTTGTCAATACTTACA